AGTTCAGAAAAAAACCGACAACGTCGTTTACCGAAACCTGCGCACACAGAATGCTACAGCGTGGGTTGAATCGAGTCAGTACAGAATTAGTGGTCCGGGCTGTTTCATGGTAGAAGACGATGGTGCTGTAACAGTGACAGCAGATCGTTGTCTGAAGATTTTGAATCTACTGCGAAGATCACAGAGAAAATGTTGTGGGACATCAGGAGCGGAAACATCAGTTGTTCAAGCAAGAAGGAGCAGCTCTGCACACTGCGGCTGTGGCCATTGAGTGACTCATGAGTGGAACCAGAATCACTTCGACAAAAGTCGCGGGATACTTTGAGTCAGAACTTGATGGTATTCCTACCTGAGCCTATGGACTTCCAACCATGGGACTACCTTAGAGACTTAAAGATTAGATGTGTGGTCAGACATTTTCCCTTCTTTGTGAAATGAGGCAAAACATAAAACACCTTGCTCGACGAAATCTGCGAGAGCAGTGCCAGACGGTAATAAATCACGTTTCAACGCCGAGCAAAGGAGACAGTCTCTCGTGACTGCCACCACGCAGAGCACATTCTTTGACAGCCCAGAACTTCTGTACGAATATGACTTCGTAAAACTAAATCCACAGGTAGGCCTATAGTCCTCATTTTGCTAAATTAATTTACTGTGCTGTCTACGACTTTTAAAATGTGAGCACTTGTTTGAATTCCGTCATAATTAGGATGCGTTTTACTCTCTCTCTCTCTCTCTCTCTCTCTCTCTCTCTCTCTCTCTCTCTCTCTCTCTCTCTTTCTCTCTCTCTCTCTCTCACACACACACACACATACACACACACACATAACCAATTAATGTACATACACACGCACGCACGCACGCACTGTGTGTTGACGTTATCTCGGAATGTCACTAAATGATTCCTCTGATTTGTACTGGTCAAGGGCAGGGACTAAAGATCAATGAAGGTAGTCCTCAGAACTTGTTTTTGAATGCTAACTTCAGAAAAAAAATGAACCATCAATAGCCTGATAAGTTCCATCAGAAAAATGTGTCAACGTTTTAAAAAATTTTTTATTTATCGCGTTCAAGGCAATGGATTTTTTAACTTTGACGTTTTCCAATCGCGTTTTTCTCAAAAAGTACTTTTCACTATGGTGACCGCGCGGGGGAAATCGTTTTTCTAAGACTATCAGAGCTACATGCTTGAAATTTGGCACACAGGTGCCGCATAAAAAGTTCTGTGATCATAGGCGGGAAACGATTTCCCCCGCATCATGGCCAAAAATCCAAGATGGCCGCCATAGAGACCAACTTTTTCATAAAACTCGACAAATTCCGTTATGATTCTTCTAATTAGTCTGTAATTAGTCTAGATCTATATCACCTTTAAAAATAGAAAAAAGTCAAACCCGTAGAAAATTACTCGTATCGTGTACATAACCCCTTAATAGGGCCTAAGATAAGTACGGCTAGACTGGCAGTCTAGCCGTAGGCCTACTTAAGTACGGGTAGACATCCAGGCTAGCCGTACTTAAGGACGGCTAGACTGTCAGGCTAGTCGTACTTAATATTGATGGCTGAATTGTAAATGACATTTTTAGTTTGCAATGCCTAAAGTATTTGTATTTCAGACAAAACCAAAAGGTGCCTTACTGACTTGCATGTATTTGAACCTGAATAATTACTAGATCTAATGAGACCTGTGTACTTAACAGGCTTGAGTCGATTGGGCCAAACCTAGATCTAAGTAGGCCTACGGCTAGACTGTCTAGCCGATAGCCACTTCGTATCAAGATAGATCTAGATTCTAGATCTGTACATGTAATCTAGTTGCACATTCACATACTTCTACTTATATATATTATGTAGATCTAGGTAAAAACTAGTTGCGCTACAGGTTGAAGAAGAGCGGCCGACTTACCCTAGGCAAGAGAACTCTGGTAAGATTAGGCCTAGATCTAGATTCTAGATCTAGATATATAGATCTATGAAGAAGATTAAATCTAAAAGAAATTAATTGGCATTTTGTGAACAAATTGTGTCTGATCTTGTTGCCTAGAACTAGAATCTAGAGTAGATCTAGCCAAGGCTATCACAAGTCCTTCGCGTGGACTAGATCTAGATTCTAGATCTAGATTTCTACTTTTTATTCGCTTCTCATAACGGATCAGCAAAAACTGGCGACACCCAATGTAGATTCTAGATCTAGATCTATATGCTAGATCTATATCGATTTAGCCTAGATCTAGGCCTCTTCATGGCCTTGCCTCCTCGCCTTTGCAGGCTAAGAAGTAGCCTAGTAGGCCTAGGCTACTAGAAGTAGAAGAATTCATTGCTCAAAACAGGCCAAGCCAGCCAACCAAATTAGCAAGGCAAGGCCTTGCCAAGGGCCTAGGCCTAGGCTAGCCAGTATCTATCTATTCCATTTGCTCTCTACGATACCTGTTTATGTGACAGAGGTATCGAACAAAATAGATCTAGCTATCCTATTTAGTCTAGCATGTAGTATTGTATTCGCTTTTTGCTATTTCCAGCCGAAATGAGTACCACTATTTATTACCTCGATACAGGAAGACATCCCGGACGAACGGCGAATCGAACAACAACAGGCTTGATCGGTCACTGGAAAAAGAGGTCGACATAGCTACCACTACCAGCCGAACATCATTTTTGCTGATAAAGTGATTCAGAGACGCGTTCTTCTTCGGTTATCAACTGAGCATCCCATTTGTGTTGTCAAAATGATCAAGTCTCGAGCTATTGCGCTTGGCTGTGTTTCCGCGCTGGTGGTAATATGTGGTGAGTACTCATGCGATCGTCGGGCTTGTGGCTCGTCTGACTGCCATGCAAGGCTTGGCCTTGGGCGGGCTTTGGCTTTGATTGATCGTCGTTTCGTACACATTAGGCCTAGCAGCTAAGGCCTACAATGCGAGCAGCATTGATGGCGATTTTAATGAACTGAAGTCTGTTTACATTCCTTTAACCATTGTCTAGCCAAATGGTTTCACTTTTAATTAGCTCTAGACTCTAGGCTAGTCTAGATCTAGATATCTAGAATCTAGATCTAGATCTAGAATCTAGATCTAGATCTAGAATCTAGACTAGATCTAGATTTCTAGATCTAAATCTAGATCTAGATCTAGATAGATCTTTATCTAGATCTAGATCTAGAGATCTAGAATCTAGATCTATATCTATCTAGATCTATATCTAGATCTAGAGAATCTAATCTAGATCTAGATCTAGATCTCTTCTAGGGGTGAAAATAATAATATTACGGAGTGTCTACGACACGGTAACCGGGCAGGTAGCCTCTGGGTCTACGTACACGGTAACCGGGCACGTACGCTTGCCTCAGTGTCTACATACATGGTAACCGGCAACTGGGCGTGTAGTCTCAAACTCAATGTCACACACGGTAACCGGGCGCGTAGCCTCAATATCTACGTACACGGTAACCGGGCGTGTAGTCTCAATGTCACATACACGGTAACCGGGCGCGTAGCCTCAATATCTACGTAGACGGTAACCAGCAACTGGGCGCCCCTCATTATCTACGAACACGGTAACCGGTTTTATTTAGTTTCGTGGGGGAGGGGGGGGGGGGGGGGGGGCTTGACCTAGGTGCACGGTAACTGCTTTGCTCCCTTCATGACGTTGACATTGATTTTTCCTTTTTCACCGTGTAGTCTCAATGTCGCATACACACGGTAACCGGGCACGTAGCCTCAATATCTACGCACACGGTAACCGGCAACCGGGCGCCTCTCATTATCTACGAACACAGTAACCGGGTATTTTGTTTCGGGGGGGGGGGGGGGGAGCTAGGTGCACGGTAACTCCTTGGCTCCTTTCATGACGGTGACCTTTTTCCTTTTTCACTCCGCTTTTTGTGTGTTGTGAGAGGAATGTAATCCCAAAAATGATCCCAATCTACCCCCTGTCATCTTCCCTAAGGGAGAGTAAAATGCAGTGACACTGAAAATCTGCGAATCTGGAACAGAAAGTTAAAATATAGATGTTTACAAAACATTTCCAGGAAAGTACAATGGTCAATTTCTGCATTGCACAAAGTGTTGGCTGCCTCTTCCGTACTTCCTCTGTAGTTTATTCCCCTCTTGCCTACGAGTTTAACTACATCCGCAACTCGATTCATCACTTGTCGTTTTTTTCTGACTTCATCACTGTAGTCCCTCGCCGACACGTGAGAAATGCTAGATTGTTTTTTATCAACCAGGTATGCTGTTGAGCATTGCAGATGCAAAGACGAACGTTCATGTTGTTCAATACGAGAATGTATATGTCGCCAGTCTTTTATCCCTTCAAGAAATGCGGATGTGTCTGAAGTGGCAGAAAACACCAAACAGACAGAACAATGAAGTGCATGGGAGTCTTTGTTATAAGACAGCCACCATCTGGTAGAACCGTCTTCACGAAGGAAACTTCTTTGCACCACTCGATTATCAGTCTTCTGACGTGGATGATGATTCCAAAACAACAACCTTTCTTCTCCAGTGCAAGGTTTCTTAAAGTAGTCACTCCTGAAATCTTCACTTACTGTGGCTTCAAATTCAGTATATGCAGTCTGTTCTGTGCTAGCCAGGGGCAAAGCTTCCCTTTCCATTGTTGGTTTCATTTCTCTCATTTCACATGATGATGGTCCTGCAACTTATTCACCGCTTTTGTCCACCTCGTCAAGTTCAGTTGCTTCGCCTGCTGATAGATCAGCAGCAGCTTCCAATCCACTGCTTTCGTCCACTTGGTCAAAATCCGCTGTTTCAACTGCTGAAGGTCCAGCTGCATGTGCCAGTATACTGCCTTCTGCCACATTTTCACCGATTTAAGGTCCCTTAATTTTGCATCAGCGCTTTTGAACAGATGCAAAATATTATGATTTACAGTCTCTGGGTTGACTGACAAAAACTGGTTGGAACTCGTGCAGCGAATTTAGCGGAAACGGGATGCCTTCCACTAATGTTTTAAAAACAAACATCTTTCTGAACGTTGCTCAATAGGTCTACGTCAGTGCCGGGATCTCAGCCAAGTTGGCAATGAGAAAAAAATCGTACATTTTAACACGTTCCCCCCCACCCCCCCGAAGTTACAAGTAGATTTCTTAAACTTTGAAAGAAAAGGAGTACTGGTCTTATAAACACAGTAATCTGAAGACAACTTTTTTTTTATCTAAGCGGCCCAATTCAGCACCGGTCCAGGGGGCATTGCCCAAATGCCCATAGGCCAGTCCGCCCCTGCAGCGAGGTGATATCAGGCACTCGTCAAAATTATACGAAATCGGAGAAACGCATTTTTTCGCCAGTTTGGAAATTTTTATGGGGTTTTTATTTATGTCTATATGAAAACGCATATCCATGTGAATTTTACTGAAAAACATAGATTAAAGGCACAAAATGTGTCATTTTTCAGTTTTCAAAGATTTTTTAGCTCTTGAAGTTACCAAACTTTGGTGGCCATTTTCTCGTTAATTTTAACACTCGAACCAGGTGACCTCACCTCCTTCAATCGCTAATATCTTTATCTCTATTCAAGATAAATGGGTGTTCATTTCATTGGAAGAAAGGCAAATAAATCAGCTTACAGATGATACCTATAACAAACTCCACGAACAATTCACGATATTTCACCTGCGAACACAACACATACCACTAAATTCCTACCTTAATAGGATCCGCAAGGATACCCCACCCGACTGCCCGTTGTGCGACTGCCAGGATGAAACAGTACTACACCACCTCTTTAACTGCCCAGCACTTTGTGACCTGCGTAGCACCTACCTACCTGCCTCCCCAGACATCGGAAACACTCTATACAGTGAAAAAGCACAGCTGATTCAAACCTGTCAGTTCTTTGCTATATCGACAGAAGGGCTAGAACCCAAATGGCCGCTGGATCGGAAAAGTAAAGTAAAGTAACAAACTCCACATGCCAAAAATTGATGAGTGCCTGATTTCACAGCGTCGTGACACATATTATAATGTCTAAAAAAGCAGTGATCCTACTTTTTATAACCCATATAAGCAAAGGGGAAAGGATCAAACAAGTTCTGTAGTTTAAATTTGTCCAATCCTGAAAAATGGAAACATCTCATGTTCAATTGCTACAACAATAAAAGTTCTGTATGGTCACACCCTTCTATATGAGCCTTTGCCAATAGATGGGGGTTTTTTTTCAGTTACAAAATCCTTTCCTATTGCAATAAAAATGGTGCTACAGCTTTGAAATTTGTATATGTTGTGCTTAATATGATGTTTCAGCAATGGGAGCAGAGAAATAGCAGTCGGGCCATCAGAAGAAATCTTACAAATATTTTTAGTTCTGAAATCGATGTATTTTTAGAATGCAAAACGTGACGCGTCGAGTTCGTACTTTTTCGGACGTCAAGATCAACAATGAAAAAATTGCTAAGAAACTCGCTTTCTACGCTATCACTATAACTTCATTATTTGTGGTGCTGTATCAGGAATAATGATATCTGTAGCTGTTTTTTCTTTGTGAGCCTTCTAGAATTTCTTTTTCGAGCATAACTTGTGTAGTCATTTTGCAAGGCAGCTTAGATTCCCTGTTACTTCATTTCTCTCTGCCAATTTGGAGCCCAGGAACGAGCATAGTATCGTTACATGTTTACTCTCTGCCCTGACCGATTCTGAGGCTGTGACCATGCATGATTTTGCAGTAAATGGAAATCCCGTGACACCTCGTGCCCTGTCATCATTTGTTATGCTTGAAAGAACCAATCAGAAAACGAGAAATAGTAGGGGTGGAGGGAAGTGCATTGTTCTTGTCGATCCATTTAAAGCGTATTGTTGTGCGATGCAAGACAGCAAGAATGATAACGATGATGAGATGTCATCATTAAATCTTAACATGTTATGTTCGAAAAAAGATGTTAAGTCCGAAAAATGTTTCCTCCCATTTAATTAAATTTAAACTAAGTAATGATTAACATCGCACTGCGTTCCAATGGTCAAGTAGTGGTACATCTAGATGTGACAACGAGTACTTGGCTACATGTCAATGACGGGGAAAATTTTATGTAAATTGATGATGTATGTGTTCCAAAATGACAACAAACATTTATCCATTACGTGTCATCGAAAGATGTTTGGTATTTTGCATAGTCATAGTAAAATGTGAATAAAGTGGCATTTTTTCACCATTAGTATGCATTGTGAGTCGAACTGAATCTCCTGAATCTTTGTTTGCCAAAATTAAAAAAAAATGAATTAAGATATGAAAATGGAAAGTTTATTATTTCTTTTGGAACTGTGATGACACAAATGCGAATTCAAGGAGATTCAGAATTTCTCTTTTCTGTGATACTCACCATTTAGTATGCTTATGCTCGTAAATTAAAGCAATGAGAAAACAATTAGAATAATTTTATGTTCCATAAATTACTTTTCGGGGTATTTTTCATTTTGTGTCATTATGGTTATGTTGGAAAGATATTTGATATTTTGCAGAGATTCATTGCAAAATGTGAGTAAAGTGGCATTTTTTCATCATTAACATGCATTGTGAGTCAAATTGAATCTTCTGAATTTGTGTTTGACAAAATTTGACTTGATATTATGTAGAGCCCGTTATACAGCTTAGCATGCCATCTGTAGGTCTGTTAATACCTGTTTTTGTAGGAGGAGATATCAATGAACAAAAAAATCAAGTAAAAACGAAATATTAAAAACTTTGTCATCTACCCTGTGCTACATTTTAGGTACCCGCCTGTTGGCAAAAGCTCATATTTAAATGCTTTTACCTTTTTTTTTTTCCAGGCATCATCTTGTCCATACTGCTTCATTTCATGGTGGTGAACCTGGTTGAGGGTTACAAAGACAGTCTCACGTTTTCAACGTCTGAGAACCAGTATGGTTCATTAAAGACCGTGACCCAGAACAACTACATATGGGTAGCTGGCCTTGTGGTATGTTGAAAGAAGGAAATAGCTATGCTTTAATTTTATGATGCACTTGCACTCCAATTTAATATGAATGGGACCCTGCGCTTGCACGCACTCTCTCCTTTCTTCTTCACTTTTTCTTTCTTTTTGCTTTCAGATGTATGATAACTTGGGTCTGTACTGCTAAAGTCTATTAAATAAGATCCTCCCCATGCATGCAGAGGATATGAGCTAGATTTCCTAATTAAATGGGAAAGTGGTTTTACAGAGAGCATGTTTTGTCCACATATACGTCTTTTTCCAAGTGAGGCATTTAAAGAAACCTGCTTTAAAAAAAATTCTTATAATGACTTATAATGCCAACTCCCAAATCCTTGATTTTATTATGAGATTTCAATGCCCACAGCCCCTTTGGGGGTGGTGAAAGACCCACAAACGAAAAAGAACAATCCACAACTTCTTATTTCAAAACATCTTTCCAAAACATCAAAACCAACAGAGAGCAGCAACACCTTAAGTTCATCTCGAACAACACAGAAACCTGAAACGAAGACTTCACACTAGACAAACTAACATCATGCATTTCAGACTTGGGCATTACAGTTACAGCCTTGGGTCCGTATGACATACACATTTAGATCATTAGACACTTACCCACAGAAACTCTCGCACTTCTTCTCCATGTATACAATGACACTGTTATTCTAATTCCAACACCAAACAAAGACGACACACACCCATCCAACTACAGACCACCAACCTTGTATTTCATGGGCTCTTATGACTTTTTGCCATTGTGAACGGCATAAAACTCTTTCTAAACTAAACTAACTCACCACCCGCCAAATATACGAAATCATCCACTTGTTTATAGTTCTTGGTTTGCATGCACCAATCTAGATTGTAATAATTCTTGCTGATAATGTGTAATTTATGCAGTTCTTCTTTACTGGTCCCAGAGAAACTTTTGCTGAGAATATTACGTTTTGAAGAAGAGTTAAATAAATTCTATTGATTCTGACATTTTAGGAAAAGTCCAAATGAAGTGCTGATTAATGTTATTTTGTTTTTGATAGAAAAAAAATTGATAGGCTTTTGTAAGGTTTTAAACATGTTCATGTAGGGGGCATCTCATGATTATGTTCTGTATTCTCTCTTAGTTCATTGTTCCTGGAGTTCTTGGCTTCATTGCTGCCTTTGTCCAGAACAAGTGCATGGTAAGTAATTTAAAAAAGTGCCCTCTGATAATATTTGTGTTATAATAGAAGGTTCTCGTACAGTACTTAGTCTATTTTCATAATTTTTTTTTGCTTTGGAATACCCCACTCTGTTATATCTCTGAGGTAGTGAATTGTAGATTCTTGAGTCTTCAGCAGTGAGGCTGATTTTAAACATGGTGTGGATTTTGTTTTTTGTACTCTGATGCATCAGGAGGAATACCGGATACAGCTTTGTTTCTGGATTTTGTTAATTCACAACTTGTACTCGTTTTCTAAACACTCCCTTGCCAACCCTCCGGGGTAGTCAACTGCTTTTTATGTATACATGTATACACTCACACATTGTATATATATGGGTCAGTCCACCAGTAAGGGCCACTTTTTGTTACATCAGACATGAAAATTCAAGATGTCTGTATATGCTGATTTGATGATTGGATAGCACTAGTATCCATTTATCCATTGATAATATCTTAAATGTACAGATCTCCAGCTTTTTTTTCTTTTTTTTTTGGTGTACTTTGTAAAATAAGTAACTTTCCCTACATTGTTAGGAGTATTACAAGTCCAAAACTGTTGATAATAACTTATAAAAAACTAACAAACAAATATTGCATTTCATGGGATTCGGTTTTATTGTAAAATCCCTTCTTAGTTTTAGAAAAAAAAGTACGGCAAATGATTTGAAAATGTGCATTTTACTACCCATGTATGTTAGGAACGTTACTGGACAAAAAAGTTTTCCTTGTACCTGTCAGAAGAAAGGGATTCAAGCAGTTTTCATTATCATACAGGGCAAACTTGAAACTTAATAATAGTTTAAAAAGAGCAAGCTATCTGAGATAGAAAATCACGAAAGGGAGCATTTAATTCTTGTTAGGACTGTTCCTGGGCAAGCAAATGAAATGGAAAAACAACATAACAGGCCTTTTGCCTCCTAGTTATAGATGCAAAGCTTACATTTAGACAAAGGGCAACTAACACAATTATAAATGTGACCTGAAAAAGAAAACAAACTAATGCATATTACTATTTTACTATTAACGGTGAAAAACTGATTTTTGTTAGGATAGTTACAGGACAAACAATTTAAACAGAGCATGTGCTTAGCCTGAAATATCTGAAAGGAATTTGAGCAAAAATTGTGCTAATACTAAGTTTCAACTTAAAACAAAATGATATCGCAGGTAATACTTGGAGAAGGGTATTTGAAAATTGAGGGAAAAGGAGCTGTTACCGAAAACAAAAGAAACTTCATGTATTCAGAATCTTATTTTCCAGCTTCCTGCAGGGCACAGTGAGTAGCTCAACCAATTCAATCATGGTAAACATGAACAAAATGGAATAAAGAAAAGCCTTATAATGAAATGTCAAAATTAATCATAAAAATCCCAAAGTGCTAGGAAGGTAACAGATTTATTTTCTCGTGTAACTTTCCTATCAAAGATCAGATTATTTCTCATTACTCTGAGAACACTTTGGTTGAACACAAATGGGGACCAGTAATGTGGGGATTTTCTATTACATTTTGTGAATTTACATGGTGCAGCATTTTAAGTAAATTGATTTTAGAATTAGATTACGATTGTTAGAAAGATTACAAAACGTTCAAGATTGTCCATGAGCACAAAGATTATGCCATTTTTTCAGGGACCTTTCGATTACACTGTGTGGTCTGTCATCTTCCATTTGCGCTCCAAGGGAAGAATCTATGGTGACTCAAGTTAAGGCCCCTCAATCAGCAAAATGGTCTCCCTTCACTCTAAAATGAAGTGACGTAACCCCTGGGCGGGTTTATGACATATGGCAGGCAAAGAGTGGTCAACCTTGATGACTTATTACAGTGGCATGAGGCATGCCATTTTCACTTATTATCCTATCTTGTCCCCGACACACCGCGTCCACTGGTGGCGGATAGTGGAATGGACTACATTTTATAGGGTAGCTGCGAATAACCAATGCGCAGTCATGGACTAACTGGCGACAGTCTTGGAGAGCGAGGTGGGACAGTGTGGTGGCAATCCTGTCTCTATAAAATGCCTCATGTGCTCAGTAAAGGGACTGTCAGGTGAGAGGGAGGGGCCGAAACCAGCCACCTGCCCCCACTGCCTTGTGGGTTAGCCCTTTTTGACGAAAGCTAATGGAGTAAACCGTCCAAAAATCCAGCAGAAGGCAAGGGAAAACCACTGCTGTATTTTTTCCCCGAGAACGTTACAGATCAACACACAATGAATGAAGAAAACGACGTAATGGGGAGCTCTGTAAGAGCTGCCTCGTCCGGTAGGGTCAGTCATGCACAGCTGATGACACCAGACCGTCATTAAGATACTGGTCACGAAAGCACAATTGCGGCGACAGAGTTGTGGTTCATAAGGTATGCTGATTATCCCATGGACAGCTAGAAAACAAATGAAGAAGTCTTCGTTGAAGCTAATTGCAGACCACAGCTTATGACGAATATACGAAAGCGACAGGCAAAGTTCATTGGACACACAATGCGGAAAGAAGCTTTGGAGAATATTGTAACAAAAGGCAAGTTTGATGGAAAGAAAGGCAGCGGCAGAGTGGGAAAAGATACTGGACAGGTTGACAACATGGCTGGGAACAGCAAGAACGACAGACACCATCGCTGCCACGCAAGACAGAGTGAAGTGGAGGTCCATGATCGTCCATGCCAATCGGCAAGGCACCGGATGATGATGATCCTATCTTGAATCTCAAGATCTACCCTTATCCAGTTAACCCTCCCCTTTACATGTCCAAAATTTATATTTTTCTATCTCTGACCCAGTTCCCCCGTCTTTGCCGTCATCCACTATGCACCTTAACGTTGTGCCCACACCAATTAACATTGTCTCTCTCACAAATTTGGAAGTAGAGACAATTGTTGCGATGGTCAGGGATGAATTTACAGTTCAATGTGATTCCACCTGGAGCGAACTTACAGGCCTTACCCACTCAGCATGTGATGTTCGTTTAGGTGGAGAGCTCAGATGCAAGTGCGATGTTTGGGGAAAACTAATGCGCCGGTCTGTTCACACCTCGATGTGATCCCGTCTGGGGCAAACATTGTTTGTGCCGTTTCATCGTGTTTTACAACGCTTACGTGATCACCTTCACGAGAGTGACTGATCTTTGACGCAACAGGCAGTTCAATAATGTGAACATTTCACTCTTAGTTGATCGACTGTGCCGGCTCAGGTTCCATAAATTATTATCTGAAATGCAGGATCTTAGTTGAATCTAGACAGTCAGAGTGAATCAGAGGGGATCTTAGGGGTGACTTTTGTGTAAAGTAAAAATTATGTTTTCTTAAAACAGCGGGAACTTCAGCGAACCGGGATCATATGCGGTAGGATCTTAAGCAGAGACTACTGTATCAATATGTGACTTTGTTTCCTCCTTAGTAGATTCCTTTGCCTTCAAGTATCCACAATCCAATTTCGAAGGTACTCTATATGTTTTTATACTGACTGGAGTATTCTTTAATTTTGCGTAGATGGCAGCCAAAGCCTACTCTTATCGATTTTAGGACCACCAAGGGATCTTTAGCATGCTCCACTTGCACTCTGGACCTCCGAGATTTTACGGCCTTATCTGAGAAGGGGGAGGTGTTCGATCTTACCTACGCTAAGATCAGGGTTGTGGTAGAAAGACAGCAGTAAAAAGGAGCCAGGAGTAACGTAGAATAAGTCCTGAAGTAGAGATGAAAGCAGGTGATAGAACAGACCGAGATAACAGGAAAGGAGGTGAATTAGAAGATTTTAAAGAACAAAATCCTTTCATCGCTGTCAAGCTTTGAACGTGGGACCTACTGAATGAGAGGGGAACACCATATCTATTATTTATAGATCAGTGATCATAAGAGTCAATATTCACAACTTTTAATACATGTTTTTTTTCTCTCAAAGATTGTAACTTTTGCTTTTTTTTCTGTTTTTGTTTACCTTGCACAGCTGTTTTTCTTCATTGTTTTTATTATGGATGTTTTTTTCCCCCTTAGTCTACAAATAGAATTATTTACTTTTAGAGGTTGTATTCAGTGATAACCAAATGGCAAAATGTTCATGTTACCATTTTATGTCTTTCATCGTGGAACTGATTTAAATATGGCTACAGTAGTCAACTGGACAAACTAAAAAGATTTGACATTTTGATTCTTTTTAGCTGGTGACCACCTGCATCTTCTCTATGATCTTCCTGCTGATCATGGGCTTAATGTTTTTCTTCGCTGGATTTGCTATAGTCGTTCTCATCATGGCTGTTGGGTCCATCTCGGAGCAGTGTAGAGACACTTATGAAGGCTGCCAATGCCTGTGAGTATTTTATTCCTACATAATCATTAGTGTTGTGAGGGAAGGAAGCCACCTGTAGGTCTGGTTCTTTATTTTTGGTCTGTTATTTTATTCCCAGCACGAATTGACTAATTGTAACAATGTTTTTCTTGCCACCCTAGTCTTTATTCAAGTGAGGGACAAAGCAGCTATATTCTTGTTTTCTCTGATGATCCCAACTCTTGACTTGAACCGACTCAGTTATTTGTTGTGTTCCCTTTTGCTTTTGTCAATTATGTCCGTGCTAGACAAGTCGGGTGTTCAATATGCAGGGCTGCCTAAATCTGTAGATTTTTCCGGTAGATACCGATTTTGGGCCTGTTCTACCGCCATACCGATAAGGTGTCAACACTACCGGATTTGCGATGGGTGCCGAAAGAAGGAAAAAAAAACCCCCATTCTGCAGTGCTTCCATTCTTTTTTGTTTTTGTGGAAATCCGTACATTGCGAAAGTTCCGTACTTGCCGCTTCACGCGGCTTTTCAACTCGCCTGGAAACCGCTCCTTTAGTTGCTCTGTGCCAGCGGTCAGTGCCACCCATGTGTTGGTCATTATTCCATGCGGCAACGATTATCTTTTTTTTCCCTCTTTGTCTTTGTACTACCTGATTTTGGGCCAAACTACCTGAAACTGACCCTGAATCTACCTGAAATGGGAACTTTGAGGTAGGCAGCCCTGAATTTGTGTGCAAGTGAGGGTTTGTTCAATTGTGGCTTACTTAAGCAAATCAACATTTCAAGAGCCACGTTTTACAAGATGATTAATTTACTAAAACAAGATCAGAATTGACTAAAGAAATATTTGTTCTCTCTTTCAAAGTGTATAAAAGCTTTGGTATGTAGCACGTCAGTGTATAGAGGAATTTTAGTTGGTAGATGGAGGAGAGTAAAAAAAAAAAAGAAGAAAAAGCCCATTGTGCAGTGCTTCCGACCTTCCCTGTTTTGCAGAAATCCATACATTCCAAAAGTTCTATGCTTGCGGCATCATCACATCAACTTCATGCATTAAAGAAAAGGAGAGACAGTATTAGCTTATTGGCATTCAGTAGCAAAAAAGCCTCCATAACTTTTCGGATATTTACGATAACTCTCGGCGATAAGTTGTATTAGACACTGCCAGATTGCGCATTTCGCACACTCTGTACAGTTGAGTCAGCTATAGATTTTCAGGTGCTGGTCAGCTAAAATCTAACTACTCACAATAGACAATTTTCCTCCTTCCACTTTCATTCATTCATTCTTTCTGTTTTTGCTGCAGCTGGAAAATGGTGCATTTATCAAGAAAACTGAATTGTGAATCTAGAAAGAAAATGTGTATTTGAGCAAAACTTTCTCAAATCTGTCTAGATCTAGAGAATTTGGCAGTATTGATACGAGGATTCTATGGCAGCAGGATAAGGCTGCGGTGCAAAAACTGATGCTAAAATAAAAAATAAGTGGAAGTGGTGCTGTGAAGTTGCAATATTAAAAAATTGAAGCTTACATGAAGAAAAATTGTAATTAGTGCACAGGTATCGTGATTGTGTATTGTCAAGGTTGGTGTCCCTGGATTTGCCTACTGTCAATGGTGCAGTAACAAGTTGAATAGTGGCAATGGAGAAATGCTATTTTCAACCCCTGGAAAGGAAAGCTCTGAATTTCAATTTCTTCCAGGGCTTCGCCCCGTGATCCCCCCACTGGACCATGTACTGGGCCAATGCTGGAGGAAAATAAAAAACACATCTGTTTTTAAATGCCTTTGAACTTAAACTGCCTGATGCGATACTGGAGGAATGTGGAAACCAAATCTTATGATTAGAGCGCTGTGCGGTATAACACCCCAGTTTGATGCCTATGCCTCATGATACAATGATAGCTTATTACTGATTAAAACTGGTTCTGTGATTTAGCAATTATGGCAAAAATCAGTGCTCACTCCATAATGCAATGATAGCCAGATTTTCAGCATCACTACATCCCATGCTCTAACAGTCCTTCCAGTAAGTTTCAGCCCCGGCTCTCAGTTCTTGCTCTCTCGCACTATCACTTTTTGCTTTGCCTTGAGCCCAACTGTAAATAACTGTGGTGCAAGGTTAACTCATTCGCTACGTATTATTTTCGGCTTGTGGACTAATTCTTTTCGGGAGGGTGAAATGAGATGATGACTAGTGCGCAGTTCACAGGTCTTGGGGGCCATAAATTCAAATAAATATCAACATATTATATACCAACATTTTCAGTATGGTTTGTAGAATACACCTGCATTATTTATTTGCGTATTTTTCAACTTTGGTTCCTGTAAGAGGCGATTATGCAACACAATTGTGATTGGATGCGGATAAAATTGGAAAATAAAAAATTTATATTCTCAGGTGAAACTAAAAAAACATGTTTGCATCTAGTCAAATGATACCTCAAAATAACCATAACTGTATATAGAACAGGAAAATATTGAAAAATGTGCAGTTATTTACATACATTCCATAATATTTGTACATTTGGATCATAACATCCGATATTGAAAAAAACAATTTTTAAAAATAATTTTGAAAAAAGGATCACAAACAGAAAAAAATACGCGTAACTTATATGGAATTATTCAGAATTGCATTTGGAATAAACCTATACATGTCTTGAGTGGTACTTTTTGATATATTTCACCCAAAAGTAGTGATTTTGGGGAGAAAAAAATATTTTGACTATTTAGATCTAGGCCTAGATCTAGCACTCAAAAATATTGATTTCTCAATTACAATGCACCGGCAATTTGCGTCCAATAGTATCAATATTATAAAGAAGAGTCTTACACTTCTTTAGTGAGCAAAATAATTATACATTTTGTTGTGTAAAAGTACTAAGACTGGTGTCTGGGCTATAATTTGGGCTTCGCGATAAAACAAAGTCGAATAAACTACGAAATCATGTTTCAAAACTGAATCAAAACTTCTGATTTTCGGTGGAAACGCTTGACCCGGAAGTCAACATTATATTATGACCTTTATTTTAACATGGATAAGTGGATTGGAATAGAAACCAAGCTAAAATTGAACGTCGGTTCTCGAGCCGCCGGCGTTGCGAATGAGTTAAGGTGCTTCGCCATTGCAGGCAGAAGTGAGTGATTCCCGTACTTTCATCTGTCTGCTTGGATGTTGTATGCCTCTTTGCCGAGTTGGCCCTCTTAGCCAGTGTTAAATCAGCCCACCTTCAAAATGCTATAAATTGTGTGGATGGGACATGGGAAATCAACAATTAGAATCATTATTTATTCTCGCTGAATTGGTTCCAGACTAGCTTTCTGATCATGCCTCTCAACTCTTGTACCGGGCTTACCACTTTGTCATCTCTTCACATTCTTCAGTGCACACATTTTTTAAAAATTTTTAAATGAGTTTTACATTATTTTTTCCTGCACTAAATGACTGTTATTGCATCGATGTGCTTATCTTTACTCAAACAAAAAAGAAAGCAGAGTTATGAAAGGATGAAGAATTATTCTGACAGAGAGGAAGCTGAACATTTGACCTTTTTGTAAATTGACATTGTCTCACCGGTATACCTTTGATATTTACAATTTTTGTGTTAGCGGGAGGGAGGCTGATCCTAAATAATTTGATGCAGTGTTTGTCAAGCTCTGCTTGTATTGCCTTGCACTTCTGAATCCTGTGGCATTATGCTCTTGATAAATTATTAAAGGTTGATAATGACACGGGCTGACGGATAGCTCAACATGATGGACTGCATTGCATATTGTGGATGGCCCGGGCTCAAATCCAATAACATGTGTTTATTGCATCATAGCACTTCAGTGGTTTGTGAATAATTCATGCCTTTCCACTTCCTTGGCTTGGTGCTATCAGAGATGCAGTAAAACTTCGGTGTGATGAACTGGGCTTGTGGGTGGTTGGCGGGTGCTCTGGTGTGGTTTGCTTCTTCTTTCCTATCGAACATCTATCGTCCTTATCTCCCCTTCTCCTTTTTTATGTTTGTTACTCTCTTGTAGCACCTCTAATCTTCTGGCGCTCATATGACCGTATGCATTTGCGAGCACCGTAAAACCTCCACTAAAACTAAAAAGGACTCGGCTAAAAACATTCGCTAGGCTGTAATGTTCACTTTTTGAAATATTGAGGCCTATGTTGTATTTTTACTCTTTAAAAGCTAAGTCTAAAACAGACCTGCTTAAAATGTACTTTTTGCTGAAATGGTCACTTTTTAAGGGAATTTAGTGATCAAAATTCTGTTAACAATGTACTTTATACATGTGCTTTGTGAGAATGAAGAAATGTTAGATAAGTGATATTTTTACAGTACTGATGAATACAATGTAATCAGCTGCATTGAGGAGAGGGCGAGTTTTTCATACTGGAATTACTGAGATGATCTTCACCCTTCACCATGTTCATCAATTTCTCATGATGGTATTTATATGTCTCTTGGATTTGAAATAAAAATTTAAAAAAACCCAACCAAAATAAACAAAACAAAATGAGAAAAAAAATGTAAAAGGTTAAAATGAACACTTTTTTACCATGAGTTACCCATGAGCACCATTCCTCCCCCCCACCACTTTAATAAGGTGTGAGAGGGATAAAGAATGTGAATAAATGTTACTCTGTAACATACCCCTCCATCTTTCCCTCACACCTTTCCATTCTCCTTCCCCTCCCCCCATTTCTATTTATTATTATAATAAATATTATTATGGTTATTATTATCAGCAGTAGTACTTTTATGATTATAATTAGGCCTAAAATGTTTCTCATCTTAAAATCATGTCTGAAATCAACTGAAAACAAGACAAAATTGTTTCAATTCATGTCTTTCAATTTACTCGCACTTAAAGAAAATGGTTTTAAGTTTTCCCTTTCGAAGATGATTGCATTGCACATCTGCCGATCTGTTAGAAGTGTACTGCAGCTGGATTTGACATTATGCGGGGAAAGGATTCCCATCCAGGAGCAGGGTTGTTTCCTTGTGTTAATCTTAAACAAAAAAATCAACATTCTTACCTCACATAAAAGACCTTCATGTGAGATGCCAAAAAGCCTTAAGCACTTTAAAAATTCTGTCACATTTGGAGTGGGTGAGGACTCAAAACACCTCCACGTTTACTTTTCCCTTGTCTGATCCAGACTAGAATACAGCTGTCAAGTGTATGGATCAGCAAGACCTCTTACTTTAAAGATACTAGACCCCGTACAAAACAAAGGACTCCACCTCACTCTGGGAGCTTTCCGCATCTCTCAGGTGGAGAGCCTCCTGTTGAGGCCCTTAGACTTAGACGAACACAACTTTGACTGCTGTACGCATTTAAATGGAGCTCAGCACCAGACAACCCAGCACATGACGGCATTTTAAAAAACCCATCCAGACATTGTAAACAAATTAAAAATCAACGACAAACTTATTAAACCTTTTGACGTCAGGGTCCTTAAGGACCTCAAAGACATAAACTTATCCAAAAAGGACAGGGCAATTTCTTTTCCCCAACCTCAGTCCGTCGCACATCACCAAGGCAAAAATAACTTAGACTTAGACCTCACCATACAACATATCCTGCACAGACATAAATATATTTAAAAGCACAAATAAATGGCTCATCAAAGAAAACCAGCACAGAAAATCTTCATAGATAGCTCATAACTCTTTATCTCCAGCAAGCCGCTCCCAGTGGCTCGCGGTCGAAGCTGCTGTGCCGGTAAGCCACTGGTAGCGGCTCGAGCACATTCCTTTACGACGACCTCAATTACTGAAAACAGGTTTCTTTTACCGGAAGTTCATTCACTAGATGAAGTACCATCATAATAGGTTCACTAGTTTCGATTTAATGGCCCATTTTGTGACGTTTTTTGTCATTTTTAGATTTAGGGCCAAAAAAGGGACCCGGCGTAGTGGGTTTACCCCCCTCGGAGATAAAGAGTTAATCGGATTCAGCTGTAGGTGCTGCCGCCCTGTACACAAACAACACTTTACCGAGGAGGCTCCATCTCGAGGCCTCCATTTTTTTCTGTGGAGGTCACTGGACTCCATAGAAAATTTTCCCAAATTATCCTTTCTCATTATGTCCGATTCCTATTCTTGCCTCACTTCACTCACCAAGCTCACATTCTTGAACAGTAAAGTTGTTAAATTACAGTAATTTAGGATTTACACCTTGACTGAACAGGGAAAGCATATGTGTCATGGCGAGGTAGAATCAGGAGCTCGTCAATTTTTGGGCATTTGGAGTTATTAGTATTATTTAAAAGCTTGTTTGTCTTGCTTTCAATAAAAAATAAAATACCCATCTGTCTTGAATAGAAGTAGAGATATTTGCGATTGAAGGAGGTGGGGTTGCCTTGGTTCAGAGGTAAAATTAGAAAGAAAATGGCCGTCAGAGTTTGGCAACTTCCATAGCTTGAGAGTTCTTGGAAACTGAAGAAATTGTATTTTGTGTACCTTTAATCGTTTTCCAGTAAAATCCACACAGAAATGGACATAAAAGTTATGGAGCCTAAAAAAAAATTCAATAAAAATTGCCAAACCAGCGGGGAAATTGCATATTTTTCATTCAATTTCGTTATTTGACCAACGCTTGAATTCATCATGAGGCCTCACATGTTGGGATCTGAGGAAACAAGCAAGTCAGTCTTCTGGCGAAGTTAAGTAATCGTTCTCTCTTGTTGAGATTAAAAGAGAACAACCCCTCTCAGATAGACTTTAAAAACAAGATCAAAGTTACACATCCAGTATGTGGGAACAACCACTATATAATGCCCAAGTTAGACCCATGAGAACCTATGGGTCTCTCCAGAAGAGATGAAGTTACTTTTAACAAGATTGTATTCAGGACCTACTTCCCTGACACAGAGATACCTTCTGTAGGGAGATTATAATTAATTTTGTGTTGGATGCATTGCCGACGTTACAACCAGGCACATTCTAATGCCCAGACTTTGGAGAGACCCGAAGGAAACATTTTAAAATACACTCATTTGATCCAGGCAGAATTTTAGATTTGATAAACTTTGCACCAAAATGTTTAGAGTACTATTTTAAAACTCTGTAAAGGACTGCTTTTACTATTGAAATCTATACTATGAATTTCTAACTTCATCCATAAAGTAAAACCAAATTATGCTGTGAACTAATGTGAAAACAACCGACTTGAGTCTCATGCGCTCATATACCTTAACTTGTTGATATATATGTTTTTGAGATTTAACTTGTTGATATATGATTTTGAGAGTTGGAAAATTTGTTTTCAGTTCACAGGACAGCAACGGCTACTCCTTGGAGTATTCTAACACTCCGTTCAAGACTTGTGACTACTTTGCAACCTTGGCCTCCCTGATCATCGGAATCCTGACCATCATCGTCATTGCTTGGGTCATCATGCTGGCTGAGTTTGTTCTTGCCTGTTACTACGCTTGTCGCTCCAAGGTAAGTGAGCAGCACACTAGTCAGTCACATGTTAGATGGTTGTGTTATCGTATTCCTGAAGTTTCAGGTACCATTCTGACTTGAGTTGTGAATTTTTCTGTCTAGTTAGTTTTCAGTTACAGGAATGAATGCGTTACTTTCTCATTGTCTGTGCCCCTGTTCCCAGGTTCTTCCAATTCACAGCTCACCTTGTTCAAGGGCTTTTTTAAAAAAATTTTAGATCCAAAAACTCTGAACACAAACACTGACATATAATTTCAGTGTGTTTTCATTCCTCCTCTCTTGGTTATCTCCTTAAAAGAACTGCCTGTGCTAAAAAATGCACAACACTAAATACTGGAGCTGAGATCATACCCTCTTGCCAAGAGCCATTTTCTTTTAAGAGCCTAAGGGGGAAAGTCTCGGCCACTGTGTCCCACATTACTGACAATGCTTGAACGCTGCCTATACTCTCACTTTCTGACATAAAAACACCACCACATCCTGCGATTAGGACCTGTGCATATATGTGTTTATTTGTGTGTGGAGGGGGAGTCAGGGTTATTATTATCTTTGAAGTTTACAGCTCCCCTGCTAGCCCTCTTGAAAATTCAGTCAGCAGCAAGCAAGGCCTGCTTCCTGAGGTACAACACAGTAGTACTATTTTTTAAATGTAAATGACTTTTTACTATTGAATTTTTAACTTCCAACTATAAACTAAAATCAAGCTGTTCTGTTAACTAATGTGAAAACAACCAACTTGAGTCCCGCTCACTCAAATGACCGTCCGTTATTGTGAGCATGGTAAAACTTTTTTAATAAAAAAAAGCACGAAAAAAAACCCGTGGGTGGTTGGCGGGTGCTCTGGTGTGGTTTGCTTCTTCTTTCCAATTAAAAACTATTACCCTTCTCTCTCCTCCTCCTATTTTTGTGTTTGTTACTCTCTTGTAACACCTCTAATCTTTGGCACTTATATAACCTAATTGTGTTGCAAGTGCCATAAAACTTTTACTAAAACTAAAAAAAACCAAAATCAACATTACTGGCATCTATGGTGTGGTTAGGTGCTTCAGTGTAGCATACAGGAGACACAAGTTTTGATTCCCGAGTGGAGAGGATTTTTGTAGAGTATCTTGATCTTTCTATTGGGTGCTGTATCCTTCTCAGCACAGGTTGGCCTTCACAGGTTTAGTTGAATCCTGCCCCCTACTTGATCTAAATTGTGTTGATGGGGGTGAATTTTTCTCATAGAAATTTGTATACATATACTATATGCATAAAACTATGTTTTTTGTACACAAATGTCCATTAATTTTTAAGGTGCGATATTTTTATTAATGTAATAACAATTGAGCATTTTTTTAGAAAATGGAAATAAGCAGCATAAATGCTATTTATTATTATTAAAGACACCTACATTTAAAAAAATAAAAAATTACACACAATACAGGGCAGTTCATAGTCAAACAGTCATACTTTTTATTGTCTCCAGCCCCAGTCTAGCCAGGGCGTTGTGTATACTCCGGCCCAACAGCCCATGATGGCCCCCCAGGGTCAGTATCCACCCCCACCCTATGGGAACCAGCAGCAGCCCATGTACTACGATGACCAACCTCCTGTCAAAATGTAAAGGAAGCCACTGTCATGCATGCTGGCTGACCACCAGGTTTTTTTGGTTTGTTTGTTTGATTTTTTTTTTGAGGGTTGAATTTCTCTGCTGGCCTTTTTCTTGTGACAGCTTTCACTAGCAGATCTGTCCCATTTTTTCCACTTTGAATGATAAAAGAAACTTTACCAAGCAAAAACTTCCGAGTATTCTTTCTTAGCCTGAAATCCCAATTCTACCTATATTGTTACAATATGTTCTACTTTCTTGTCTTTTGGTTCATGACATGCATCTTTAATAAATGTTTATATCTAATTGTATTGTAGCGAGTTAACTCAAACAAAATAAGTATTTTTCACGTTTCAATTGGAATAAATGTTGCTGTTTCTTGTGTGCTTTTGTCTTCTAAAATAACTTATGTTCTGGTAGTATTTTGTGTGAAGACTATTATATAATTTGACTTTTAAAGTTTTTGGAGAAAATTTGGCAACATCCTACTGTTAGGCAACTTATTGACAATAGTCTCATGTGGTCCTGGTGTGTTCAAGTGCGGTTTCGTTTACTTATTCGCCATTTCCCTGTTTCTTAACAGTCTTAAGGCATCTTTCAGATACATATATTTTTTTTCTTTCAAAAGTCCAAAATATCTGGTCATATATAAATATCTATCTATCATTATTATATAATCTATTGTATTCTACATATATACACATATATATTATTATTATTATCTGTATTTTTTGTAGCTTTGCCATTGCCACTGAAACTTGCTCATATTGGTCTAGTTTGATTTTCCAAAACACTAAGTGTTTTCATTTCAAACGTGCCAACACTTTCAGAAAGTTGATTTTTAAAACTTGGAAGTTGTTTTGTGCTTATGAAATTTTGTAAATGAAACAGCAATACTTCAAAATTTTAGTTAATATATTTACGAACCTTATTTTAGAGGGTATATTGCTTTTGTTGGTTTCATTATTGAAGATATGTCAGATGATATTTCTATTATTTTTTTTATTTGTTAGGTATTATCGTGGCTGATCATATTTTTGTAAAGGTAATAAATCTGTACTTTTGCATGTCATGTGTAACTCCATAGTGTATTCTTTCATCTGAATAATTTTTATTTTATAATGTTACATTTTCCCCCTCATCTGAGATATGAAAACTTTTTTGTGCTCATTTACTTTACTTTAACTCTTTCTCATATGTACCTTTTTTTTTTCGGGGGGGGTACTATGACATGTGTTGAAATTAAATATTTTATTTTTATCTGAATAAAATTCCTTTTACACTGTTTCAGCGATGAAAATATTACTTGTGAAGATGTATATTTCGGAAGTTTTCTATTCTTTGGGTCTCAGGGGATGTTGTCTATTGTCCGACAGTGGTATGAGAAAGGAAAAGGGGCTGATGGTCAGTATTTTGCACTTTGAGATTCTAATTTGATTTTCTGTTAGGGGGGTCATTCTTGTTTTCTCTGATACACTGATTGCCTTTTTAAAAAATTCATAAAGGAGAAAGACCATAATGTATTCTTACAGAAGAAAAACTTCATCCTCCATTGAAATTGAAATCTAGTGGAGACCATATCTGAATTCAAGGATCCATACATTGATATGTGGAAAATGTGTTGAAATTTTATCTGAGAAAATCCTGAGGTTCCTATAGGTCTGCTTATTTGCATTTTGTCGTCAACTGTGTATGTATAGATAGGCTTGAGGCAAAGTAATTGTGTTTAGGTCCCTGTCATCTGTTCAGGCGCTAAGACAGCACAACTATTTGGAGCTTGATTTATGTCTGTTATAACCTCAAGTATGCAATGTTGGCTTTAGGTGAAGTATTTGTATTTAGGTCCATATCATCTGCTCCTTTAGAAAATGCTTACGCAGCACAACTATGTGGAGCATATAATAAATCTGTTCAGACTTTTGTATAGGCATATCTCTGTACCAGTTCTCTCAGAAGCCACACTAACCTACTCTCTGAATTCCATTTCAAAGGAACTAAAACTCCAGTGTTTTTTGTGTTCTAGTAATATTCTGCAAAAAAAGTAATCTGTCAAGAATCACATTATGCAAATTCTTAATAATTTTTAAATAAGTGAAATGCTCAAAAATATGTTTGTATCCCTGTTGCTGCTTCTTGTTCCCCTATAAACAATGAGCATCAAACTGGCAATGTGGGTTTTTTTAATCCCATTATTTTTCCATTTCAAAATTCTCTATTTTATTGTTTGAAATTTCTTCCTGCTTGTTAAGACAAGGCTTATTCTGTCTTCACACTCAAGCATTTGCTCCTACATTGTATTTTTATATATATACTGGCTATATTTGTTTTATGAAGAAATAATAATTTATGTTATGCTTTTTAGCATTCATACTCGCCTCATGATCAGTCTTTGTAGCTCTTGTTTGACAACTTATTCGCACACATTGGAGTGAGAGTTTGCCCTGCTCAGACACCACATTTTTGTTTGTGAAACCGAAATTAGTTTAAGCAAGGAATTGCTGATCTTGAAGATATTTTAATTGGTGCTGTTTCTCTTTTTGCGTATTATTCTCTTTATATGTATTTTCTTTATGATCAAAGGGGAACACAGAATATTTTCCTCAAAACTATTTTACTTCTATCTTGTGATGTTTAAAAATCAGCTGATTTTAGCAGAAAGTTGTTTCATATGATAAACTGTAATCTCAAGCCAAAGTTCACAACACTGAAGTGAGATGGGGGGGCGGGGAAATCATGTCCTGGGTTCTTTCCAGTTTAATTGACATTCTATTTCAAATGGTGCAATTAAATGTCCTGTTTCTTTATTTTCCTTATTTGTACACTGAGAAGCATTGTTATTTGAATATGAGTCTCCTGCATCAAGGTATTGAATTTCAGTGTCAGTAAAGTCTCTTTTCTTTATACAGAATTAGGTAAACTTTGTCGCTAAATAAATTTGCAAACGATGTAAATCCAACAGAGTGTTTACATTGGTCAGGATGACCTGAATGGCACTAACACCAGTAGATCAATAGGTGTACATCACTACATTGGCACTGACTAGCTAATGTGTAAACTTAGCTTTGTTTCTTTCCTGTTCACTGCCACTTTCTTCACCAATAACCGTACTAGTACCACTAAAATCCTCCTTGTTCTAGATCAGAGTGAGGGATATCCAATACTTCACCTTCTAAATTAAATATCTCGTTGGAGTGCACTTTTTAAGGGTTTGGGGAGTGACATGTTACAATGAATAGATATTTCGAAAGTTCACAAAATCAAGCAAAGTTTGTGGGGGTCGATACTTGTTTAAATTCAAGAGGATTTAATGTTCCCATAACCTCGCCTATAATGCACTTTCACTAGATTTAGTGATTAAGCTTGACAAGAAGTAGAGTACTCTTATTAAAGACAAAGAGCCTGAATATGAGAATGCTCTTGTAGAGTTTGTGTGGGGGAGGCCTGTCTAGGGAGAACTTGCGCTCATATGTCAACCAATGTTGTGTCCCATGCTTTCCTTCCTTGTTAAATGGCCGAGTATTATTACACCGGTGAATAATTTGCTGAAGAGAAAGTTTGGTATACGTATTTTACCTGGAATGGTTTAGGGCCTTGAGAGTCTGAAGATATTAACATAGAAAGTATGTGTATTAGAGTTTGCTAGAAATCATTCTATGACACTATGAATGCTATTTTCCTCCATTTGGGTGTGTCCCTTTGTGAGATACTTCTGTTTAATCATATTGTTGAGATCATGGGATAGAGCCGAGTGTAGTGTTTTTCATTTGGTACAGGCATCCATCACTGTACAGAATTATTCTGTAATAGAGGTTTTTGCGAGAGATCTCTACATAGTCTACGGTGCAAAATGAACATTTGTCAGAAGTCAGTACACTTTCCCCCCTTTTGCTAGACATACATTTCATATCCCACATTGTCATATATTGTAGACAGTTAAGTTATACACAGCAAGCATTGCTCTTTGGTACAGAGCAGAGGCCTTGAGCATGGGACACAACATGACACTTTTAAGATCCATGCAGAGGACACCCACTCGGTTCAATTGTTCCTTTGTTTGGGTCTCAAAGGCTGATTTTTGTCCATTTCTATCTCTTGCCTTGCTGTTTCTTTGCTTTCTTTGTAGTTCCAATGTTGATATTGAAGGGGGAAATAAAAAAATCCAACCCTGTGAAGAAAGTCTGAGAGAGGAGACTGAACTTCGTAATAATACGATGATGAGCTGGTATCCCTGTAGTAACTGTTTTCTGTGGCAAGCTGAAAGTCCATTGGTCATGTTATTGACCATCATAAATTCACCCTCTCCCGGTCAGCATATTAGGATTTCCATCTGCAATCTTGAAAATGCAATAACTTATTACCCCCTTGTTATCAGTTAACCTAAATGTGTACAAATTTTCGCCACATCTCAGAAGAACATAAATTTCTTCAAGATGCAGACCTTTGTCTGGACAAGCACCAACCTTCCCCATTGTATGACCATGTATGTGGTCACAAAGTGCACATACATTATGCAGCCCAGCAGAACCTAGGTACTATGTTTATCTGAACACCTGTGATTTGATGGCCTTGTGGCAACGGACTTAATCTTTTCTTTCTTTTTAAATTTATAATTTGCATTTCAACTAAGTATTTATCCAGCACATGCAACAGATACCATAGATTCCATAGATTAAGAAACTGAATTTTTTTTAAAAAGTCAAAATTTCTGGCTGGTGAATTTTTAATAGATGGTCAAAGATTTGTTTCTAATGTTGTAAAATGTTACCGAAACTTTAATGAAATGTCATTATTCTCAGTTTAAAAATTCAACCAAAAAACCCCCACAACAAATTACAGCTGTTGTAAGAATTGTGGATGGCTGGGAATTGACACTAAATTGTTGGTGTTGAAATAATTGTGCCTTGGCTGGTAGCAGATGGTATCAGGCTTCTTTTCTTTGTGATGTTCAAGTTACCGTTTTCATGCTTTAGCATTCCATAGTGAATGTGTAGAGTATTTGTCTCTGGTGTCTTGTGCTTTGTTTTTAAATGAAAATAGAGGTGTCTTATGAGGATTACATTTTTTTTGGTCTCAAATGGGCAGCTTCCTTGGATGTTTTAGTACTTATTGACTCGACAGTCTGTCATAATATTTTTACCTATTTCGTCTTTGTCTACCTCTAAGACTTTTTAATGAATTTGTGTCACTCATGGTGGTGTTGTGATTCTTTTCTTCAAAGGTATTTTCAAAGTTTCAGAACTTTTTTGTTCCGAGTTTGCTCATCTTCAGACTGCCAGACAGCTCTAACCTCCCCCACCCCCAACCCTCAAGAGGGTCTTTTTCTATTGAGCAGGGTTAGGCTGCATGTCCACCAAAACATAAATGACCTAATTTTTGTTGGGAGGAGACAAAATTTGGTCTGTTTGTGTGCAGCAAGTCAGGAATAACCGATCATGAATGATTAAAAAAAGAAAATTAATAGAATTGTTTGTGGCTTAGGTGTGAACTTTGCTAGTTTTGAGGCACTGCTTATGAATATGACATTAGACTTTTCATCAGAAACTGAAATTATAAATTTAGCTCTGTCTGGGCCTATGGCGGATGAGTCACAACAAGACGCAGCTAAAATGCTGCATGCAGCATTACAACTGACTCAACTTCTGTTGGGAAAAGTTGGGTCGTTATGGTGGACACAGCGTAGTGGAGTTGTCAGTGATAGCTAAGGCAAAAAGCGGTATTCTTTTTGAACTACTGATTTTCTGAGAGACGGATATTTATGATCCGTTGGTCTTTGGTTTGGTGGACGTGCGGGCTTAGAAGCTGGTTTAAGAATGAAAAAGCATTAACTCTCCTGAAAAAACAAAAACCTCATGGACTGGAGGTTATAGTTTACTTCACCAGTTCCAGATGGAAAAGCTTGTGTCTCTGATGTAATGGTTAGGTCCTTCACCTTGCACGCAAAAGATTTGTGTTTTATTCACATGTGGAGAACTCCTGCCTGTAGAATAGGTTCAAAGTAGCACCTTGTCTCATAAATGATGTTATATTGTGTCTGTGGGGGTGTGTAAATTTTACAAGCAATTAACCAGTTGAAAACTTTTAAACAAGTATACATATTTTTTTTGGTCTAACATGAGGATTGAAAAATCTTGACACTGAAAGAGTTGACTGTTGATTGATTTAACTGCGCTCAGCCTTTTATAATTAATCTAGGCTGCTTTTTTACGTTGGTGTTCTGAAATTGAATATAATTTACTTGACATGGCCTTTCCTAAGAAATTATTGAACATTGTTTCTGTGAGAGTCAGCTATTAGCGAAAGGCTGTGCCATGTAATCTCTGCAACGTTTTCATTTGTGAGTCTGCTGTAACTGGTTACAACAACTTCATTTTAATATGTTTTATGTTGCATTTTGTAAAATGATTGGGGTAACATGTTTTCCAATTGTTCTGTCCTTACATCTAGATTATCTGTGAATCTTCTTTTACTGTACTCCTTGGCCGTTTTTACCTCTGAGGGAATATAAAATAATTTGCTGTTTTACCCACTTTGTTTTCAAAGATATTTTGTCAGTGTTCATTAGTGATACCACCTCTCTTACTTTTTAAGAAGACTCCCCCCCCCCCCTAGCTTAGTTGCATTTTTTTAAAAGCTATTTTCATGTAGTCAGTAAGTACTTGTTGTACTTTCATAGACTGTTTCTGTATAATAATATATTTTCATGATTTGAACTCTGTCCTATCAATCAATTTTTAAAAGAATTGGAAAAAATTATGTCACATGGCTGGAGAGTGTAGTTGGAGTGTCCTATCTTTTTTGTTTTCTTGTTCTTTTATGATAATGTGTGTGTTGTCTGTATTGTGCGATGTTTTTATTTTTTCTTAACTAGATTTACAGAAAAAACAACTTCCTTATGGAAAAAAAATCTGTTGTCGTTTTGTGCTACTCCTGTTGTTCTCCCATTTGTAAGATATGCTGTCCCTTCATGTGCTCAAATTTAACCACATGCTGATAGATGGATATTACTTACTTACTACCCGTTACGCCATCTGGCGTTTAGGGCAGCAAACAAAGGATCTCTAGCTCTGTCTGTTTTGGGCCATCTTGGTCAACGTCCCCCACGAATGGTTCCAGGATTTCGTTTCAGAAGATGGATATTAGATTATATTTATTTCCTTGAAAGGGGGATTCATGGGCAGAAAGAATCAAAGGTGAGAGAGTCTGAAAGTATAAAGATGTCCTACTTTGACTCTTGATTGAAAGTGAAAGGGATCCAATCGATATTATTCCTTTAGTGTTTTTCCTTTTATTTCAAATTTTGATCTTTTTGCACGTTAATACTTTGCAGTCACTTGGCGCAATAATGCGCTGGTGAAAATTATCTGTTCTGGTGTGGCTCAGTCCTGAGAAGTCCCTTGCAGTCACTCTCCTGGCTGGGTGACCAGATTGGGTATGTGGTACTGCTGGCTGTGTGACTGCAAAGTGTTAATAGAGCTGGGTCGGTACGACTACAGAGTACTTTTTAGAGTACCAGCACAGGTACATATTTTCTTTACTGAGTCAACCTTTTTTTCTTTTTGTTTAGAAATTTTTCTTGGAATTTCTTTCACATTGAAAAAATAGTTATAAGGATAATTTGAGAGACAAATTCTCGTGAATTGTTTTTTAGAAATATTTTGCATGCAATTTCAGTTGTTGAGCCATGTTGATTATTTCCTCTATGATTTGATGTCACATGGTAATGAAGCACAATATAGCTCTGGAGCTCAAACTTCACGACTTTCATCTAGTGGAACCACGGACATCTTCAATGCAGTCATTATGTAGGGATGCTGTTTTTCTCTGTTATTTCTGTTATTTTCACGGGGGGAAAAAACCCCCAAAACAAGAGTTATTATTCTCAGTATTTGTTTTCTGTTTAACCCCATATTTGTTGTTTGCTACCTGTTTTTTTGTTTGCAAATGCAACTGGAAATTTTCAGTTATCTTGACAAAATTCCGAGTGGCATCCTTGATTACAATGATAATATATAGCCTCAGAGCTCATTGCACTAAGGTTCTTTATCTTTTGGTCAGACTCTTTGTGTGCACAAAGTGTTCAGTTCCTGTGTTAAAAAATTTTGTTTATCAAGTATCTTTTGTTTTGCTGTGATGCTGTTTTCCTTTCAGCTCAGGCAGGCCCCAAAACACAGAGTCAAAGTAGCATGCTTCATTATTGATCTAAATTGTGTTGACGTGGGTGTAAAAAATTTATAGTCAAGAGCTCTTTGTAATAAACGTTGATTTGACATCGTGGACAAAGTGTTTTGAGTCTAAGATTCGTGCTTATGTTATCGTGATGTCATTCTAGCTCTACTCCTTGTACTTATAAACTAACTCATGAAAATTTAATTAAACTTAAATATGCTTGCAGAGAATATTGTTATGTAGGTAGTGGTGAATATTTGCATTTAATGTTTTGTGTTGTTTGTTGAGTTTGTGTGATGTTTATTTTGTGTAAGGGAGATAACCCAAGTGGCTGCAAATTTTTTTTAGCTCATCTGAAAATCAAGAATATATTGTGATCAGAACTTTTAGTGTTGATGTCTTTTATTCTCTATGCAATGTTATTTTGACACTTGTTTACTTACATCATGTGTATTCTCTTTGATGACCAAAAGAAGGCTTCCATTTAAGAACTGAACTTTAGCATCATTTTTCTTTTGGGCTTTTGAAGTGTAAAAGTTCACTGGTCATGCTCGTAGAGAAAAGTGACTGGATAGTGAGATAAAATGGTCTGCAGTTTATATTTCCTGTTAAATCCGCCTATGAATGGTGAAAATACGGTAAAATGTGTACCTTTCTATAAGCGACTAATCGGTAGGCCTAATTAGGTAGAAACAACAATTTTGATCACTAAATTGTTCTTGACTTTTCCCTGAACATTTACAAATTTGAGGCCTGGATTGATAGTCTGTAAACAAATTATAGAGGAGTGTAAAGAAAGTATTTGCAGAATTAATTTAAGTAAACTGTTGACTATTTAAAAATGTTTTTATTTTTAAGTTAGGCCTTTTTGCGTTTGTTTGTCTCAAGTTTTCATTTGCTGAAGTCTGTGAAAGAAAAGGGCACAAGTCCCATGATCTCTAAGTAGCATTCTTTTCTTTGATAAGTATACTCGCACATCTAGTCATTATTGACCTTTGTGCTGCACAGTGTTCTTTTGTTCTTCTGTTGTTTTTTTCCCGTCTTTCTTCCTTTCCTCAAAGCGCAGCTTGTCTTCACAACTTTTTTATTGCTTGTTGTGAATCATTTTTTTATACTATAAATTTTTTTCCTCCCGACAATTGAGTTAATTTTATTTATCTTTGGGATTTGCTATTTTTTAGTTCACTTAGAAAATAGTTGTCAACGTATGAAAATCAAACTCTCATAGGTGGTTAAAAGCTATTATGCATGCAATTTCAACAGTGTAGTCCCTATTCTTGCCATTGTTTTGAATGTGATGAGGCCCCAAAAAAACCTCTTTTTTTTGTTAAAGAGTCTTGAGTCCATTTCCTATATCTGGGAACATGTTGTTTTTTTAAATGCACTATGTAGATTCTAGATCCACTCTGGCAAGAAAGATCAAGAGTACTTCAGTTTGATGGATTTTTGTACACCTCAGGTTGGTTCTTAATTATAGGCTACTGTCTTCAGCCTTAACATTTTTGTTATGCAGCCAGCCAGTGTAGTATCTGAAATTGTATTTATTTTGATGTTTTCTTTGGATTTTCAGTATTATTGTAATTCAGATTAAGTTTATTATTGTTTCACTAAACTTACAAAAAGAGCTTTTATAACTCTAGTCTCGAAATTTGTGTCGTCAGTGCCAGTATACACTGTTAATTCTCTCCCTTGTGCTCACATTATTGTTTTACATTTTAACGCTTGCTTTTACTGTAAAGAGGTTTTGAATTTTATTTCAACAAATAAATGTAATTGTGTAGAAAAAAATTATGCCTTTGCAGTTTTTTTGTTTGGACTCTTGGTGTCTTTTGTTTAATTATGGAGGTCCCATTAAAAAGGACAATAACTCATTGTCATTTTTCGACCAGTTTTTATTTTTTGGGTGTTTTTTGTAAAGTGTTTTACGGCGCTCGCAACTGCATAAGGTCATATGAGCACGCGGGACACACCTAATATTTTTCAGTTGGGTGGAAATTTGGAATTTTTGCACGGGTGGCGGCCGAAGCCTACTCTTATTGATTTTAGACCACCAAGGGATCTTTAACAAAACTTGCACACGGGCCCTCTGAGATTTTTCGCCCTTGTCCAAGAAGGCTAGGTGTAGATCTTTCTTACCAGAAGATCAGGGGTGTGGCAGAAAGACAGCAGTAAGGAGGAGTCATGGAGTAGCAGTAGAAAGGCTGCAGAAAGAGTCAGGAGCCCAGAGGAGGGGGCAAAGGAGGTGAGGGGGTGGGGGTAGAAAGTGGAAATGAAAGCTGACAACAGAACATTGCTAGAGAGCAGGAAAGGAGGTGGAAGGAGACCATTTTAGAGAAGAAAATTTTTCTGTCGCTACCCGGATTCGAACCCGCGAACTTTTGAATGAGAGGCCAACACCTTAACCTCTAGGCCACAAGGGCCCACACCAGTTTAAAAAAAAAAATGTTTTACAAATAAAATTCAAGCGGGAGGACAATGCGTGTCTTAGTTTGAAGAAAGTAAACTCGTTTAAAAAAAATATCACATTATAACAAATTTAAACAAAATTAGTTGAAACTGAAAACTTTTGCTACTTCTCAAAATTCAACCATGTTGTTCTATTTCAAACAGTTACAGCCACTGTTAGTGCAATAAGATACACATTTGTATTAAATGAATAACGCCTAATAAACTCAGGGAATGTAGTAGTAGCTAGCTATATAAATTAGACGATTCCCAAGTGTTGTCCATTTCTCTTCATACAAGCTTCCAAGCACCACTAAAAATTTTGAACAACCTCATGGCATGTTTCTTGGGTCGTTTGGGGGGGGGGGGGAGTAAGCGCTAGCAACTGTATACCGTCATACTCATACAATGTATAAGGGCACAGGACACTTACGCATTTTCGGTGCGGTAGGAATTAATTTTGAATTTTGCCCGGGATGTGGACAAAGCCTACTCTACGCTTATTTATCTATTTTTAGAGGACCATTTTGAAAGAACGCCTTTTTTAAATGGTTACTCTGACAAAACGCCTTTTTTAAAATCTCAAAACTGCTTTAAGAAAAAGGCAGTTTGTCAGTGTAATGCAGACTTTATTTATTGGTTGAGACAAATCATTTTGTGAAAAGGTGTTTTTGTAAAGAGATATATATATATATTGGCTAGGTAGGCCTACCTTGTCCGACCCCTTTTTTTTACTCTGATAAATTGTACTAAGCTATCACGCTCTGGGTTTATTACGTCATAAGTATAAGGGTCGTTTGCTAGAGGACAAATCAGCATACAGCTGATCACATGCACAGCTTTCTTGGATATTATTGATAATGTGCAGACCTGTAAAGGATAAAGCATAAAATATAATATTACACTGTCGTAGTAAAAGAAACATGAAAGGTTCTAGTAGAAACTGTTTTACCATTTAACAGACATTATAAATCGAACTGCACTCTTGGCAATTTTAGTACATTCCTACACACAAAAAGTACCCGAATGAAGACACATTCAATGATATTCTTGTAATTGCTTTGAGCATAGTGTTATTGTTAATTGTGTGCGTTATAATAATATACCGTTTTGTTGCAAAAGTTTTGTGTAGTATTCATGTCCATTCGTTCAGCAAATTATTAGAACGCATGGAAAGACAGCGAGTATAATCCTGTTAAAGCATGAAGACAAATACACACACATATAAGGCCTTCCAGGACGAGACATGACTTTAGTACATTCACTCGAACAGCTTGGCGACTTTTCCTGAACTCTCACTCATGAACTCACGTACTACACATAACAACACACGTACTACACATAACAACACACGTACTACACATAACAACACACATACTACACATTACAATACACAAGGTTAGTCGCCACACACCTCCCACCGGCACAGACGTCTCATGGGATCATTGGTAGCGTGTGGGTGGACGCACTTGACGTCCAGCACGTGACGTGAGTTGTCGGTGGTGAACGGCCTCAGTATCTTGCTCTCGCCCATCGGTGTTCCTAACGGTAGGCTTTGGTTCCCGTAACACCGGAGGGCGGCCGCGTCGTGCTGGTTGCTGTAGATGGACAGATTGGGCAGGGTCTACCTGTGCAGGCTTGAGGCGATCTACTGAGATGTGTTCCGTGCGGCCTCCGATGTCCAGAAGGAAGGATTTTTCTCCCGGGGCGAGAACCATGTAAAGACCTGTGTATGGTCTTTGAAGTGAACCTTTCACGGTATCTGTGTGGATGTAAACATACTTCGCTGTTAACAAAGATGGTGGGAAGAATGTGACTGGGTCACTGTGGTGGATAGCCGGTCTAGGCCTACTGAACTGTGCTTTAGCTCGAAAAGTTGTTAAAAAATCTGTTGCTGACCAGGTAGATGCTTCAGAGGGTAAAAGATTGCCTAGAACGGTCAGTGGCTCGCCATAGATCAGTTCTGCTGATGAATATCCCAGGTCATCCTTGGGAGCGGTTCGTAGCCCAAGCTGTCCTCAGAGAAAGTTGCATTTGAAAATAGCAAAAGTTGCAAAAAGTTGCAAGAAAAAGTAGCAAAAGTTGCAAGAAAAGTTGCAAGGCGTACGTATAGCTAAAACAATGCCACGGAACTATTGGAATACATTGTATTGTTGCTATGCTCATTGCAATCAGGGCCGTCAAGAGCCTGGTCGGGCCCTGGGGCAGCAATCACCTTCGGGCCCCTCCCCCCCCCCACCCTCACCTGCAATTTAATAACCCAACAAATACAATGTACAAAGGAATATATAATCACTTTACTGTAGCATATCTATTACATAATAATATGAACATACGCTCTCTCTCTCTCTCTCTCTCTCTCTCTCTCTCTCTCTCTCTCTCTCTCTCTCTCTCTCTCTCTCTTTTTTTTTTCTCTCTCTCTTTTCCCCTTGCTTGCGGGCCCCCCAAATCCCCGGGCCCCGGGGCATTGGCCCCCCTTGACCCCCCCCCCCCTCTCGACAGGCTTGATTGCAATCAAAAGTAACCAAATATGAGTTTTGTTAGATCAAAATCAAAAGTTAAATGTGAATGTCTACTCCCCCCAAAAAAATTGCTTGGAGTACAAAAACAGTTTGTCCCCTGACACATGCGTTGCGTCAGGTCCTTAAACTCTCGCTGACGTTGGGCAGGTGTGGCCGGCGTGGTTTTGGGGCTGTTCAAATAAAATATTACACTTTGTTTGGGACTTTTTGCCCCCCCCCCCCTCCCGCCCTTACACTTTTTTACACTTTCCTGCAACACCCCCCCCCCCCCTCAATCCCGTATATTACGTTATTCGCGTATAATAATAATATGACATTTATATTGCGCAAATCCGTGGTACAATCACTCTTCTATGCGCTTTACTTTTAAACTATTAATTATGGTATTCTTATGGGACATAATAATTCAATACGCTATAAAAATATCGGAACTTTTCCAGAAAAACTTACGGTGTCATTTTACCACTTTAACCGCACCGGTGTAATCAAAATTAGACTAGATAGATATCTACATGTCATGTAGCCCAGACATTAATTACCAGTGTATAAAGTGCGAGATGACATATATCGTGCTTGCCGCTCGAGGTCCATTGTATCGCCACAATGCAATGCTTACCGCTCGAACTTAACTCTAAGTCTAAGTGAATAGTGTAGAGTTACTCTCTTTTTTATGCTATTAACAAAAAAGTTACGTTGCCATTTTCCTTGACTATTTTTTTCACCTTACAAAAGTGTAATTCTACAGTGGTTACCCCCCCCCCCCCCTTTACACTTTAACTTTTACAGGAGTCAAAGACCCCCCCCCCCCCTTTTTTTTCTGGCGTAAGATGATATTATTTGAACGTCCCCTTCCCTTTAGGGGTTTTCTGGATGAATTGATCCATTCTAGATCTACCCTCCTTAGCCTAAGATTTAAAGTCTTTCACAAATTTTTATACTAGATCTACCTTGGTGCTACGGAACAGAGCAAGCTAAGTAATCAGACGACCGTGTTTACGATTGTTTTACTCTAGCTAGACTAGTCCAAACAAGACTATTGGGTCGGTCTGCTCGCTAGATTGATGGTGCAAAGCAGCTATCGTGGCTCAAGTCGATCGCGCCCGACTCGTTGTTTCAAAACAAACACGTTGTTTTCAGGCGACGAGTCGGGCGATCATCCCGACCCAACCTGACCCGGCCCGGGTCACTGGGCGGCGGCGGGCACCCATAGGCTAGTGCAAAGTGTAAAGAAGCGAATTGTCCCCCTTGGCGACGTTATTTTTAGTCGTGGAAGAAAATTTCGGTGTTTTTAGTGAAATTGTATTATTGTTTTTCTGACTTTTGCGGGAAATTGGCTAAAATTAGCGAATTCACGAAAATCGTAAAAGTTGCGCAGACGGCAAAAGTTGCGCGCGCAACTTGCGGGTTGCGAGCGCGAATTTCTCTGAGGACAGACCAAGGAAGTTCTCCCACCCAGTTGTTACCAGTGAGTCTGGCCTTCAATGCCGTTTTAAGTGAGCGATGGAACCGTTCTATCATTCCATTTGCTTGGGGGTGAAAAGCCGTTGTTCTATGTAAGCGGACTCCAAGGCGTTGAGCTATATCAGTCCAAATTGCAGAAGTGAATTGAGATCCTCGGTCCGATGATATGTCGACAGGAACACCAAAACGGGAGATCCAGTCTCCTATGAGAGCGTTAACACATTCGTCTATTGTTATGTTAGGCATAGGGATCCCCTCTGGCCATCGTGTGTTGCGGTCAATAATTGTTAAAAGATACCGTTGACCACAGGACTGAGGAAGTGGACCCACTATATCAATATTGATGTGTGAAAACCGCTT